GGTCGTCGAAGGGCTGCTGATGCACGCCGCCAAGCCTCCTTCGCCGCCTGTCCTTGTTACTCCAAAACCGCTGAGGAGGGGCATGATCTCGCAGGCTCATGACTCTCCATCTGCCGGTCACAAAGGCGTCAAGGCCACGTTCGGTGCCCTGTGCCAGGTTGCTTATTGGCCGGGGATGCGTCATGATATCTCGGACCACGTCGAGTGTTGCTTGGTTTGTTGTCAGTTTCAGCCGTCCAACCCTACGCACAGAGCTCCCCTACAAGAAAAAGGGCCGACCACTCCGTGGTCGGACTTGCAATTCGATTGGGTGGGGCCTCTGACCAAATCCACCAGAGGGAGTAAGTACATACTGACTGTCACCTGCGCATTCACCAAAGGGGTTGAATGTTTGCCAGCACCTGATGACACAGCTAAGACTACAGCGATCCTCTTGCTGAATCACGTTTTTGCCCGCTTCGGTTTGCCCGCGAGGGTCGACTCGGACAGGGGTACCCATTTCACCTCTGACGTGATGAAACATCTTTGGGAACTGTTGGGTGTCAAGGCTAAGTTCCACATTAGCCACCGGCCCCAGTCCTCTGGCCAGGTCGAAAGGGTGAACCGCACGGTTATCAGCATGTTAAAAAAGTACGTGAAAGCTAACCACCGAGATTGGGATGTGAAACTTCCGTTGGTCCTCATGGCCATACGGGCTACCCCTCACGAGTCTACAGGTGTCTCCCCGTTTTAAATGATGACGGGTAGACAGATGACCCTACCGCTTCACCTGCTGTATCAACGACAGGTTCAGTCCGACACAGCCCCGGCGTGTACGAGCGGCCAATACTTGCAGGACCTGAGAAATCACCTGCTTGCAGCATCCTCGTTCGCACAGGCGTCTCTGGGAAAGTCAGCTGAAGGCAGAAAAACTTATTACGATAAGAAAGCCTCACATTCCGAACTCGATGTAGGTGACCAGGCCTGGTACTACATTTTCGCTCCCAAAACGGGTAACAACAATGCGACCTTGGGGAAGCTGGCTAAGAAACTTCTGCCCAGATGGTCGGGTCCATACCTGATTACAGATAAGATCTCTCCGGTCGTGTATCAGATCAAGATCGCCGACAAAAACAAGGCGCCCGTCTACAAATGGGTACACAGGGACCATATCAAACTGCACAAGGGTCCCACAGATTTGGCCGATACCAACAACAACAATCCACTATTTCAAAAGGGGGGTGATAAATACGTCCCGTTGGTTCCACAGATTTCTATCTCTGATTACACAAATTTGTTTGTTTGTGAGTGTACATGGTTGTCTTTCCTGTTATACGTCACGTGCAGACTTAAGGTGTGTTGAGACGGACATGCTGTGGGCTCCTGGAGTCAGGTAACAGTGAGTGGGTTAGGTCACATAGTACTGTTGTCCAAAATTTTGTTTTGTTTTAATCTTTACTAATCACAATTCCTTAGGGTACATTAACATGAACATGATTACTAACCACTGATTTACATTTTAGTACTGATTTACATTTCTGTTTTTTTTTATAGTACCTTTGACCAGTTGATGTTTACAGTGAAAATTATGTTCGTGATTATCAATTCTTTGATTTATCCTACTGGGCTATAACCAATTTTGCCCCTGTCCTGACACAAGTATTTACAGTGAGGATTCACTGATACCATTTAGGGTTTCTTTCGTTTTTCTGCTTCTCGCATCATTCCTTTTTGCATCTTACACAGTCAGGGCTGCATCCATTTCTTCACTTAATGGGTAATTACACTTAAAACTAACACATGGTACAAAAGGCACTCATAGAGTTAGGTTTTTATTATTTTTTATTTCTTTGATGACATGAAATGCACTTTTGTCGTGTCTACATTGAAGTGCCTACACTGTGCTCTCTCTCCTCTGCTGAGCTTGTGAGGATCCTGCGTCCTGGGGGTGGATCCGTGACTCGTCATCTGCATCGACTACTCCTGGGTGGTGGTCCGGCTCGTTGGCCTTGGACGACTGTGGTTCCGGCATGGCTGCTGGGACACCTCATTCGTTGGGATTACTGTCACCTGCTCTTCCCTTTTTGTGGATTACGATAAGTACTCTTTCAAAGTTCAATTTTTATTTGGAATATTACCCTGCCTGCGGATACAACAATCGATTTTTAATTGGAATACTACCCTGTTCGTGGATACGTTCAAGATTTGCTCCTGCTTTGCTTTATTGCCCGTGAGGATATGACGTTGCTGTTGCTTCGTTTATGGCTTCCATGGGGAATAATTAATAACCTGCTGACTTGTGTTCTTCCTGAGGAGTATGCGAGACTGTTCTCCAGCGTGGGGTTCGTACCTCACCACAGATGGCTGTTCCCTTGGGATCGCATCCGGTTCTGTTGTCAAGATTCTTCATAACTTGGGTTTGTTCAACGACCAAGTGGTCTCTTGAAGGACCACATTGACCTTGAAAAGGGGGGATATGTAAGGTTATGAAGTTCATGGTTTTCAACTCCATACAGCTGCCCCCTGTGCACAATAACACCGTGTAGAAAAACCAAGGTCGGGTGTTCCTCAGACTGTTTACATTCCAGGAGAAGAGTCCGAAGGAGAAGAATAAACTTTACTTAATCAAAGTACTTTATTTGTGATTAAAATTATTAAGCAAAACAGATGTTGATCAACAATAATCAAGTGAATGATCTGTGAAATAAATATGTCATGAATTATGTTTAATGAAAACAGGACTACGGCACAGACATACTGATCCTCATCTCCATAGAAACGCATGACACATTGTTCCAACCAATCAGAGCTTTCGGCTGCCGCAGGAGAATCTGGTGTTGACTTCAAGTGTCCAATCCACTTTACTGAAACTTATCAACAATTCAGAGATATAAAACAAGGCAACGCCATTTTTAAGTCAGTTCCATTTTGACTTCAGTTCTATTCACCATCATCCTAAAGGAAAGCGCAGCCTGGCCAGATGTGTTTTCTTCTTTAAACTAAGAACTGTGAAGCGGTAGATTTTCGTCGTTTAACAACCAGACGACGTCCTTTCAAAATAAGAGCACCTGCTGACGCCGCCGAACGGTACCGGGGTCGACCCTCCAGACGGGCTTTGAAACGTTGTGATCGCTGCACCGACAGCTCCATCGTACATCCGAGGTCTCCAGACCTGGCATTTCCTGATCTACCTGGGAGACCCCCACTGGGTACGTACACGGCAAAATAGCGGCTCATGTCATCACTTTATAAGCCTCGTGATATCTAGTCATAACAAAGACGACCAGATTCATTGACGTCAGCCTAGAGAATCTGAACCAGACACACACACACACACGCACGCACCAACACAACATCCGAATCCATTCTCATCCATCACAGAGTAGTCCTGGTAGATTGTTTAGAATTTATAATTCAGAAATTAAAGATTCTCAAACGATCCCATCTCTCTCTCTTTTCTTTTTTCAAAGTCAATACAGAGTGTTTAATTAAACTCCCTGATGATAAAAACAGTCTATTCTTCTGTTTATAAAAAGTGAACTACCTACAGTGTATTAAAATACAACTTTAGATAGAGACATCACTTTGATTCCGTTACATCCGCGAGGGACTCGGGAAATAGCGTCCTTGGACAGAAGTTCCCGCAGCTCCAGCTCTAGCGCCTGAGACTGTACTTGCGATGTGAACGTCGTCTCCACGATCCTGTTGAAGGGAGGTGGAGTGGCCTGAAAATGAAGTGTGTGACCGCAATGAATGGTGTCCGAAATCCATTTGCTCATGATACAAAGGCGGCGCCACTCGTGCGCGCGTTCCGACAGTGGACGCGTGTGCGCGGTCACGTGAACAACGTCCGAGGGTTGTGTATGCGCCCTTACCGCCGTCGCCCGTACCAGAGAACTGGGGGCGACCCATGGAGGGCTGCGCTCGAAAGGGCGATTGCGAAACAGCTGGAACAGGCTGGTCCACACCATGGAGCGTGAAGTCCGAGAGTGAAGGACGAGTGGGAGCCGGGCCCGTGCACGGGGGCGACAGAGTGCCAGCGGATGGAGCCGCGCACTGTGCCGCCGCGCGTGGTCGAGACAACGACCTGACATCCCGCCCCACCCAACGGTGTGGGGAGAGCGGGAAGAGTTGGGCCTGGCCGGATGCTGGGGCCGGAGCGCAAATGGAGCGCACCCTTACGGCTGGCCGTGTATTATGACTGCCTGTACCTGCAGGAACATGTGTGCGTGCAGCAATGCTTGGTGTGGGGAACATGTGTGAGAACTCGGCAGAGGATTCTGCGGAGGACTGTAGGATTATGCTCTTTGAGTGACGTTTTTTGGGTTTTATTTCAAAACCAACAACAACATCAGAACAATCAGTAACACACACATTCCCCCCAAAGAGTCACTTCCGTGGCTGCTTTCTGCGAGGCTCCTGCACTTGGGACTGCCAAGACTGTGTCTGCTGGCCCCGCCGGAACCGTTGTAAGCCATCTCGCTGGTCCCGCTGATGTGGAGCCGAAGCAGGAGGCCGGTTCCGTGGAGCGGGCGGTGCAGCTGGACGTCTGAAGCTTCCGCGCCGTTTGTCCCATCCTCTGGCTGAACGGCCGGAGTGCGAGGCTGACCGAGGGTGGACCAGGTCTCGCACCATAGCCGATAGTTCGGCCATCTTCTGAGCCCGCTCAATGACGCCCCTAAGATGGGGACCAAACAGAACATCGGTGGTGATGGGGCCGTCTAGCATCTCCCTTTGCAGATGTTCCGGAATAGAGGGCAGGGCCTTCAGCCAGATCGCTCGCTGGATGAGGGTCTGCCAGGCAGCGATGCGAGCAGAACCGGTGAGCACAGCAGCACACAGATTGAGGATAGCATCAGCAGTCTTAGTAATGACGGCTTTCGACTCCTCGGGAGCTTCCAGCTCCTCCATCATCTTTGAGACGCCGAAGGCAAGAAGGGCGATGTTATTCGCTGCAGCGCCGGTCTGAAAGGCACACTGATGTGCGCGGTCGGTGAGCCGCGTTAGCAGCTGGTCATGTTTTGAAGTGGGAAAAGCTCACGGGCCAGCGAGGTGGTTCTTGGCGCCGAACAGCGAGGCCAAGTCCGGCTCTAGCGGAGGAACGGACGGCCAGCCTTGGTCGGAAAACCCCTCGACCTTGGTGATGGGCGCATACGTGGAGACTGGCGCCTTGAGCTTGGCAGGCTCGGAGAAGGCGGCAGACCAGCAGCTCATAGCAGCGGGGAAGCGCGGCCAGATAGGGTCTGGACAGCGTGTCTGAGTCGCCCCGAAAATTCCCGCCAAATCATCCGCTTCAGGCGGTGCCGGTTCTGGCACAGCTAGCCCCTTGCGGGCTGCTGCCGCAGAAATTATGGCGGGCAGCTCCTGGAGCAGTGCTCTTACTGCTGGCAGGGAGGAACGAGAAGCCACTGGGGCAGGAGGACCCGCTGAGCGAAGCTCGTCGACCTCCGTTATGTCTAGGAAGGATGCCGCCTCATCGTAGTTTTCGCTGTCGGTGACGTCATCCAGCCGGTTGAAGCCAGCCGGCTCCTGACCGGCGTCGAAGAAATACAAAGCCTTGTCCAGCGGGTACGAGTCAGCGACCGGAAATTCTTCGTCGGCGGCGGGAGTGAAGTACTCGACCCGGCGAATCTTCTCCGCCACGGGCAGAGCGGCACAGAACGGGCACGAGGCCTGCGGGGTCAAGGCCAGGCCAGCGTGGTGAGCCCCGAGACAGACCTCACACTTAGCGTGCAGGTCACCGCTGGAAATGGAGCCCGTCTGGCAGGTCGGGCAGGGTCTGGCATCGCTGGACATGGCTGGTAAGTCGTCTTCGGATAATGTTGCTCTTTTTAGGATAATATTTGCTCTTTAATAAAGCTCTCAAGCTTGGCATGAAGAGAAAAAGGAGGTGAGCAGTGTGGTCACTGCGGTTATATACCACGAGGGGGCCCACTATTGGTGGGCGTACATTTTAGCTCTTCATGACTGGCTGATGCGGAGATCATCCTTCCAATAGCAGCTAGCTTAAGGGCTAAGACTAGACGAAATAGAACTACAAAAAATGAAAAAATCAAATCATTTTTTGTGTGTTATGTCCAGATGACCTCTTTTGTGGGTAAGTTGTCACAGCCTTGGAGTGTCACAAATAGGCGTAAAAATATTTTTTTCTCACTTTGTAGTTTTTGTTTGATGTCATATTTTCTAAAATACACACGTTAAAGTCCTTTGAGCACAAAAAAATGCACTTACAAAGATGGCCAGTTGAACACTTTATTAAAGCACATGAACAAAAAAAAGTGTGCGTGTGTGCATGTGTGTGTGTGTGTGTGTGTGTGTGTGAGAGAGAGAGAGAGAGAGAGAGAGAGAGAGAGAGAGAGAGAGAGAGAGAGAGAGAGAGAGAGAGAGAAACACAGAGGGGAGTGAGCTAACAGCTGTGGGTTAAGCACTCAGCTGATAAGTGCTCCTCGCACACTGCCTGTCCATATTTTCTGCCAAAGCGTGCATGCAAGCCTGCGCTTCGGTATGTAGTTCACCGCGGTGGTGGAGTAGGTGAAGGCGAAGAGGGAGGACAGAACCGCTCTGCTTCTCATCTGCAGCAGCTGTATGTTGCGACGAGCTGAAATTAAAATAAATGAATAAATAAATAAAATATGCAATTAGGTTGGCGAATTATAATAAAACTAAATAAATTACCTTGTCCAAGTTGTCAACAGCCCCTTTGCAGTGGTTGTAATCAAGGATTACAGTCGGCTTCTGCTGCGATCCCTCCTGGATCTCAACCCGATGGTGTTTGGTGCTGAGGAGCAGAACGTCCCGTCTGCGCTTCGGTATGTAGGTCACCGCGGTGGTGGTGGAGATGACGGCGAAGAGGGAGGACAGAACCGCTCTGCTTCTCATCTGGAGCAGCTGTGGTGGCAGCTCTGGCTTGTTGCGCCTAACTGTTCCCACAAGACACATTTTATTTCGGAGCAGCTCTTCTCCAAGGGCTAATGATGTGAAAAAATTGTCCGTGGTCAGAGGCGGATTTAGCAATTTGGGGGCCCAAGGCGAACACAGACATGGGGCCCCTTACATAAAATTTTCAACAATCTTACCTTTAACTGGATTTGCGAAACTCTCCCCTCTTCTGACATGAGTTATTTTCCCTTTTTATTAGTCCTCCTCTTTTTTCCTGTTTTTCCCTCCTTTTGAGTGCTTTCAATATTTGCTCTGCTTTCTTTTTCCTGTCAGTGCTCCTGTGCTGTTGCCTTTGGTTTTTTTTTTTCTATTTTCCATTTTGGTCTTTGTTTTCCTCCTTTTAAACATTTTCCATTGTCTTTCCTTTCTGCTTCCTTTTGATGTTTATCGAGAAACGACGTCACTTTCAGAAGTGAAAATAAAAGCTTTTATGAAACATGCAGCTTCTTTCTCTTATTGGAGCCACTAGGATAACTTCATGTCATGCTTAATGTTTTGACTATCGCTTTGAGTTTGTTACGAACGCTCCCACCTCTCTTATTATTATTATTTGTGGTCTTATGGCACTTGGCAAACAACCATTTGGTGCATTACCGCCACCAACTAGATTGGAGTGGAATGACTACCAATCACTTCCTGTTTGTGCATCGCCGTCTTAATGACCCTCTTATGACCATAATTATAACAGGGCCGCCTGGTATTTTTTTTTTATCTTGTGGCTGTAAAATTGTAATAAAAAGTACAAAGTGTGTGTAACTCTTCTTTTTTCAGAACAACCTCAGCTTTCAGTGTATGGTTTGTATTTAGAATTTATTTCTATTAAAGCCTTTAAAAAATCAGCTTAAAAGTGAGAAAAGCAAAAAACGGAATTGAATTTTTTTACATTTATTACTGAACAGGAACTTCAAAATTACTGGGTGAACAATTTGGAATGAACAATTTAAACTTTGATTTGTAATGCATCTATTCTTAAAAAAGTTTAAACCTTGGTATCTTTTTTAGCAGTTTTTAGGACCATTCATTTTTGTAAACTTTCTGACGTTTTTATTTGATGTGGTAGACCTTGAAGCAGTTTCTCTTCAGCTACAGGCAGAGTCCTGCACACCTCACACTGCCATGGGGTGCAGACGTGCACTGCTATACCAAAAACTTTTTGTTTTAGCAAATGTAATTATTTATTGTAAAAAGATAAATAATGCTGGAATGTGTCACGCAGTCTCCCTCACAACCATCGACCTCCTCAAGGGAGGAACCGCAGAGCCGCTCAGACCATCCGAACTCCATTACTCAACATCCCCAGTGCCAGTCTTCCGGTTCACGTCACCCGCCAAGTCTACTTAAGGAAATGCCGCACAACGCCGAATCACTCAGTCATCGTTCTCACCGAACCGAACTCAGAGTCTAGACCAGATCGTCTCAGATCACTCAGCCTATGCAAACCAGATCAGCCAGATCTAAGAGACCTGACAACTCTTAGAAGTCAGCCCTGTGCTGTGGGAGCCGCTGTGCTCAGCTGTTTCTTCATACCGCTGCGCACCCGGCTCCTAGATTAAACAGCGTGATCACTCCACCCGGCGTCAGTCACTCCGCTCTTGGGTTAAGAAGCCACGCCACATCTCCAACTCTCGCTCAGCTCGAGTCAGCCACTACAGAATGAAGCTGAATCTTACAATTAGCAAATAGTTGAGGGTTGTTCAAATAAAAAAATAAAGAATGAACAAACGTTCATACCCTGGTTCACTGGAGATCTGGCCTTCTTCGTGGTCACTGTCTTCAGATATAAGCCTTCTGGGACACCTAATAGATCGTGTTGATTTTCTTTGAGGCATTTCCATAATTTCATGCTGGTTTTTATGCTAATTAGCTTCCCCGTTCCGTTATCCGCTTTCACCGCGGCGCTGCACTCCGTTTCAATCAGGCTGTACAGCAGGATTTCCCCTCGTAGCGATATTTTCCATAACTCTGATTGCTTCATGCTATAGATCGTTGGAAAGCTGCTTTTATGTACTTTTAGGAACCGTTGGAAGTTTTTGAATCTGATCAGCCATTCAATAGTTATAAAACGGAGCATTTTGGATGACAAACAGCACGTCTCTGAATCTGTGTTGTGATTCGTTGCACTCAAGACGGAATCCCGGTGACTACCGTAATGTATTGTATATGCACGAAAAGCCCCATTTTTAATCTTTTCAGCACTTTTTGAATTTTAGTGATATCTTGAACGGTTCAGGAATTATGGTAACGAGAAGTATGTTCAATCCCGTCTGCGGCCACAGGTTGGTAATAAGAATATTGTGGCATTAACAGAGGGGTGCCGGCGGTCAGGTCTAGGAGGCCCCCCAACACAAGGGGGCCCCAGGTGACCGCCTACCTATGCCTAATGGTAAAACCGCCTCTGTCCGTGGTGACAGTGCAGCTGCTCAGTCGCTCGGTGAGCTCCAGCACCACCCGCCTCCCTTGCTCCCTTTGTGCCGGGGCGTCTCGCGTCATCTTGCCCAGGTAGGGAAAAATCCCCCAGACATAAGAGGCCACATCGCACACCACCCACAGCTTGATGCCATATTTTGCCGGCTTTGAGGGCATATACTACTTGGAAGTTGCAGCGACCTATGAATCCGACGAGCTGTTCATCCACACATACATCTTCACCGGGGTTGTAGGCAAGAGGGAGCCAGCCCACCCGGAAGTCCCACACCTCCCAGAGGGGAGCGAGCTTGTACTGCTGCACCAACCGGCGTGCTGCCCTCAAGCGGTCATCAAACTGTTGCCGTGAGCAAATGGAACCTTCGCAGGCTCATTGTGGCTCTGAAAATCGGCCTCTCTGTTTCCTCCCAGAGGCTTTTAGTAAATTCCCCCAGGAACGGAGCACCCCCAGCGGGGACGAGCAGCCCAAGAAATGCGTGGAGTTCCACGTCGTCAACATCTGTCCAGTTGTCATACTTTCTCCTCCCCTCTATATTATTAGTGTGTTTAATTATTATATCAAGGATTGTTCTTGTTAAAAAAATAAATCGAAGCCGTCTAGGAAGCGGGTGATCCCTCGACGAAGGAAGTGTGAGGCCGACAGAGAATCCTGATGTCAGGTGTTGATCTGCGTTGAAACTTCTTCTCATGCTTGTGGCAGAAAGAAATTAATCCGGATCCGAGTCTCATATGTACTTTTAGTGAATTGGTGCGCCTGTGTAAACTGACCCCAACTCCATGTAAACAAACTCAGCTCTGCAGGAATTTGTTTTGCAAAACAAATGTATGCCTTTGAAGTTTTTCAGCCTTCATCTTAATTTTCATCCATGCAAATGCTTTGTGCTTGTTGAAATAACAGTTTGCAAAAGTAAAATTGTGAGTAACTGAAATTTTGCAGAAAATCCTTTGGTTTTTATATGTAGCATGCCTTTGATGAATATTCATGATTTCAACAGTGTGCATGAGAACCTCGCCCCCCCCCCCCCCCCACACACACACACACACACACACACACACTCCCCTTGCCACACCTGCACAACTACTCTAAATAATGATCACAGATCTGTCTTTTGAAGATTTGTAAAGTGCTTTGATCCCTGCATGCAAGCATGCCTGCACAAGCATACAGAGTGACACATGTCAAAATGCCATTTTGAGAATGAGCAGATTTTCTACTTTCAGTAAAGGCTTATTTTTTAAGGCACACTGTAAAAACACAATTACCAAAAATTCAGAACACACACATGCAAACTATTGTATGGAATCTCTAAATAACACACAAACCATTTTTTTGCAAAATATGTGTTATAATGGAGTCAGAAGTAAAGAAATACAGCAGAATCATTTAATTCAAATGCAGTGTCAGTCATTGCCCTGCTATATATGGAGAAAATACGCCATCTATTGGAAAACGGTAAAAACTAACCATCGAATGAATGAATGAATGGTCTGAGAACACAGACAAAATAATATTTTTTAAAAATTATGCTAATATTTATGCTTATCATAAAAATATGATTTACATGGAAGTCAATGGCGCAAAAAAAAGCAGAAAGATGCTTAACGCTACTAAAAAATTATGCGTTATAATAAAGGAAGTTGAAGATTTTTTCTAACTATTTTTAGTAATTCCTTCAAAAATACACATCCTCCCCAAAAATAGATCAATTGCATTAACATAGCCAAAGTTATACACAAAAATACTTGAGTCAGCACAAACAAATGCTTTAATGTTGGGTAAGGGTTAAATCATTTTCTTGAACCAGTTTGAGCTAAAATGACCCTTTACTGGGTGAATGACCCACACCGCCTTGTGTGGCCAGAATAGGGCTTGGGATTATGTTGTCATCAGTGACGCAGCTGCCATGTTGGCGACTTTCACGTCCTTAACTGTTACTCCAGACACCAGCATGCTCACTGTCAGTCTTGCAACTTCATTAGGCCCGAGCAGCGAAAGCGCTGCGAAGGCCTCTTGTTTTTGCTCTGATTATTTTTTGTTATTCCGTGCCCCCTTTGAACAGCTTTTTGGGGACCTTAACATACCCCAAAACTCACAATATTTTGCAAACTTGTCAGGCCTGGTGAAAAATTTGATATTTTACAGGTCCCAAAAAAATCGCAAAGAAAATGGCTGAACAGCGCCCCCTAGAAAGTGAAAAAAACCCCTCTCCATAAAGCTTAGTTTATCGTACAGTTATGAAATTTGGTACACTTGTAGTACTCAACAGTCCGCACAGAAAAGTCTCTTGCAAGCATGGTCAATATCAAACAGGAAGTCGGCCATTTTGGGTTGAAATGGCGATTTTTAGCCGTTTTTGCCGTTTTTAGGGTCCGTTTCTGATTGGATTGCTCGATCATTTTTCGCACGATCAACTCAAAAATTGTGTAAAATTGCTCAGAAGGGATGGGCGAACAAAATGAGACAAGGATTCTGACTTTTCGTATATGTTGAAGGGGCGGGGCAAGGCCTCGAAGTTTGACTACTCGCCAAAAAAATTTAAATTGCTATAACTTCATAACTGAATGGAGTAGAGTTACCAAACTTTCTGTGGTCATTTGTCATCCACCCACAAAGTAAGTTGAATAGTCGGATGATGACATCACACAAGCCCCGCCCCCTCAGGACCAAAAAGGTCAAGTTTTACTGTGAAAGGTCCCAAATGGCCCCATTTCACTCAATCACCACAAATTTGTAGCTGGTAACTCAAGACAAGTGGGGGTTGCTTTGTGTCACTTCATGGGAGTTTTCGGCAGAGGGCGGGGCTGTGGCGGCGCGGCGAAGTCAGGCGTACTGCCGTGGCCTTACGTTTGCCTCCCATTTCGTCACTTCTAAAGATATCGCCACGAAACTTCTTGTGAGTGATCCTAGTCCTCCCCCACAAAATATCTGATGTGAACATCCGGTGGGCGTGGCCTATTTTCTGAAATAGCGCCCCCTAGGACCATTAAAACTGTCAGCCCCAAGCCATGCTTTGACTGAGGATTACGAAATTTGGTACACTAATGTGGTGTCTCAGGACCTACAAAAAAGTCTCTTGGAGCCAAGGGCAAA